CTTCACACTTTATTGTATCAGTTTGGTCATTTGTAACAGAATATTTTTGATCCCGCCGAAATTCAGGTGCGGTCTTGTGTCCTGTGCACCCTAGGGAGTCTGATTAGCCCTCCCGGTAAACTACGGTACACCGCCCCCCTCATTTTACAGAGATGAGGAAGGTGGGGGGTGTGTGTGTTATGTAGTTTAGCAAAGGCTGGCCAGGGCGCTGTGTTATCAGCCAACAACAGATAGTTAGGAAGTGAATGCATTTCTTCCAGTTTTGTTCCTGTACTTCCTGCCGCTGCTCCAGGTACCGAAAAAAAACTTACCCTGACAGGTTGTTATCCCCGTGTACAAAAACCTTACCCTTCTAGGGGGGCTATCTCTGCTCTGTAAGGGTTAGGTGCTGTTTTGTCCAAGGGGCTCAAATAAAGCTGTATTACTGATCTTCTGTCCCCCCGGCGGTCTGTCCTCACCTCTCTCCCCCTCCGTTCTGGCTAATCCCTTGGCATCCTCACATCTAATGCAACCCAATGGACCTGTATTATATGTGATGATGTCAATGACCTTGGACAAGTCTAGCATAGCAGATCCGGGGGGGCCGAGGATCAGGTGAGTGTATCTGCTTTATTTCCCCCCCCCCCCTTCCCCCCTAGGCAAATGAGCACCTAACCCTTGCAGTGCTGGGGTAGCCCCACTGGAAGGGTAAGGTTTTTGTACCCCGGGGATAAAACCTGGGGAAATGTGAGTGAATTGCTGAGATTTTTCTATATTTACACTGAACTCCATGATTGTTAAAAAAAAATCTACCCTTGCCATGCCCATCCCCACCCTCCACACTGCAAGGGTTGTATGCTGGTTAGGTCTAGGGGTAGAGGAACTAGGTGTAATACCTTATTCCTCACTCCGGCAGGCTCCGGCGCTCTCCTCTGCTCTTTGACGTTCCGTGTTCTGGGTCAGCCCTCATCGTCCTCATGTATAATGCGAAACTATTGGTCCTGCATTGTCCTTAATGGTGTCAGCATGCAACCACTTAGCGCCTTATAGAAAGGCTCCTGGGGACCGGCCCATACGGCTATTAGCGTACGGACATGCCACAAACCCGCCGAACATCGTACGATGCTCGGCGGGTTTTCGAACATGTCCGTAAGTTTATGTCTGTAAGGGTAGTTTTCTTTTTCTGCTTGGAGTGGGGCCATAGAACTGTAAAACTACTTATATAAAATGATTACGCTCAAGAAATTTGATTTTTTTTTTTTTTTACTAACTCAAAATTAAATAAAAATGTTCCTGACATTGAGAACGATCGAATGTAAAAGCCATGAATTGGACCATACAGCCTGCAAAGTGGTGCAGTGCCACATTATGACCCCTAGATGGCAGCAGCAGTCAGAGAAAGTTCATATAACACTCCAATATGCCAATATGTTAGATTTTACTATGGGTCTCTTGGGACCGATGTGAACCCAGTGTGATCTGTTTCATCTGACATACACTGGGTAATGCAGAGCTGCTTCTGCTCAGTTATTTTCTTGCCTTAGGCCCCATTCACACTGAGTGATTTATCGCGCGATTTTTGCAGCGATATCGCTCATATTTCCGCGCGATATCGCTCTATGTAGCTTCTCCAATACATTTCAATGGAGCTGTTCACATCTCGTCGCTCAATATCGCTTGTAGCTCGTCGCTGGTAGCTTGTCGCTCCTACATGACCCTTTTTTAGAGCGATTTTGAGCAATATTGCTCCTGATTGTGTTATGGAAATTCGCTTGGTTCAACGCACAAATCCATGTCGCATTAAGCAGCGCCAAACGCAAAGAATTTCCCCCGTTGTACTATGCTCTTTTGTGCAAGGACTGAAAGTATCCCCTTCTATAGAGTCATGTAGAGTCAGGAGACAGATGTTGCTCGTTCGTTGATCCCATGCTTAGAGACCTGAGCGCAGGTATGTTTATTGTTTATACCTGCCCAACAGGAAGTGCTGTCAGACAGGAAGGGGTGTCTCAAACAGCGAGACAGGAAGTGATGGCAAACCAACAGCTGATTTCAACAACCAGCAAACCAGGAAGTTGGACAGACAGGAGGTGAACAGGAGCCAGCTAACAAAACACATGTAGTAGTAGAACAATCACATGTAGTAGAACAATCACATGTAGTAGAACAATCACATGTAGTAGAATAATCTATGACCACCGGAGTGACTTTATCCCGCGTTGCTCAGTGATCAATGCCACATAACGTTACTATGACTCTCATGCGCGCTCATTCACAGGGACAACGTTATATTATCTCAAGCGTGTTGATCAGGCACCCCAGAGAGAACAAACGCACGTTCCTTTCATATATTGCGTTCCAAACAAATGTATCCACGC